GGGATAATTATACGTTTTAAGCGCAAGATATTATCTTAAGTGATTGTTTAAATATATTATTTTAATAAAATTGATTGAATAGTTAAAATTTTATCCGATAATTATTGTCGGAGAGAATATATTCCCTATAGTTCAGGGATAATTGTACGTTTTAAACGCAAGATATTATCTTAAGTGATTGTCTAAATATATTATTTTAATAAAATTGATTGAATAGTTAAAATTTTATCCGATAATTATAGTCGGAGAGAATATATTCCCTATAGTTCAGGGATAATTGTACGTTTTAAACGCAAGATATTATCTTAAGTGATTGTCTAAATATATTATTTTAATAAAATTGATTGAATAGTTAAAATTTTATCCGATAATTATAGTCGGAGAGAATATATTCCCTATAATTCAGGGATAATTGTACGTTTTAAACGCCAGATATTATCTTAAGTGATTGTCTAAATATATTATTTATAGCTGATATTAAATGTTTCTTAACTTCTAAACATTAATATTAAATATTTTTTCATGAATCCTGATTAATTGATATTATTATAATTTTTATGTTAATTTTATTATTTTTATTTTAAAAAAAAAATAAAAAAAATAATCTTTTTTTTACTTTTTGCCCAGAACGGGCCGTTTCAAAACCAGAACGGCCCGTTCCAAACCAAGGTCTACTTCCTGAAAACGTCCTCCGGAACGGGCCGTTGCATGGCCGTTCCAGATTCAAAAACATGTTAAAATTTTTACTCTGGAATGGGCCCTTCTGGGCCCGTTTTAATTTTAAAAAAAGGCCTCTATGTCTTTAAGCAGAACGGCCCGTTCCGCTTCCAGAACGGGCCGTTCCACTTCCAAAATTTACCCAAAATGGGCCAGAAACACGAAAAAAAAAAATCTAAAGTAACTCAAAATTCGGTTCCCCGGGAACCGAATTCGGAGTTGGAAAAAAAAAAAAATTAAGATTTGGAGGCCCGGAATTGGGTCCCCGGGGAACCGAATTCTGAGCATGAACAGTAAACAGTTCTACATTGGTAAATAAACCTGCACAGTTGATACTTTTGTAATTTTTTAAAAAAAAAAATTATTTAAGTAAAAATTTCGTTTGTGTAACCTTTGTTGTATTAAAATCATTTGAAAAAGAACACCTTTCATCTTAATTGTTTTGTGCAAGATAAATTAAACTCAGTTTTTAAAGTAGTAATTTCCTGAGAACACACAAAAACTTAAATGTAATGTAGTGATAAATGTATATTTAATACTTTATTTAGCAAATGTTGTAAGGAATTAATTAAAATTAAAAATTGTAAAAAGAAAATATAGAACAAATACCAATAATGATGTCTTTATTCTGTAATAAAGTATTTAAAAAACTAGAATAAGTAAAACATAATTTTAGAGTCAACTTCTTTAATATTGGGTAGAAATGAGCATGGCTCGACCCAATCTGCTAATCCGACCTAGTTTAAAATTAAATTTGACATATTCGAGTCATATATGTACATTAGATATATTTTGAGGACGAGTTCAAATTATTTTTCAAATGTCTTATTTATATATATATATATATTATCTTTAAAATATATATTACTTATTATATAATAATAATAATAATAATAATAAATTATTATTAAATAGATAATATTTCGTATAGCATGATATTATATTGAGAATGACAATGAAGTAATTGAACAGAAATCTAAAGTCTGAGTGTAAATTGGACCTCATGTCCAATAGAATTAATAGGTGAATAAAGAAATAAGATGTTAAATAATCAAAAGCCCAAAGGCGGAAGCAATTCCATGCCTTGTCGCAGCTCTGTAGTTAGTAGGTGATCCCACGGCAGAGATACAAGCAGCAGAGTCATATATATATTTTGACAATCCTTAATTATATTAGATCGTATCGTTTCCTCTTATTCTGTTTCTATGTACCCAGCCATAGGGATGCCTTAGACAATACAATTAAATGCGCCTTTTAGTTACTTTACTTTAGGGAATAAAAATTTCTTTCATGATTTTTCTGACCTTTTTTTACGGAAAAACTATTATTTCTCTGGATTAAACTGTAACGAACATTACCGTTTACAGGCAAAACCCCAAACACTCAATAGCCTCGATTCTGAATCAGACTTTGATTAACCAAAATCCTAACAGTCAACGGTAGAATCATCAACTTCAAAAGAATAGAAATGTAACTTTTAAAAACTTCTCTCCTAAAAATAAAGAGTATTTTTCAGTATAAAAGTTATAAAAACGTTTTTAAACTTGTATCCAACCAATCCCTAAATTCAATAACAATTGAACCTGAAAAAAAAAAATCCTAGTAGATAATATCTCTGATTATTATTTACACCTACGAAATTAAGCTCGGATAATCATTTGATCCATACACAGATTTTAAATGTTGGTAGTATTAATCATTCGCAATTTAAATTCAGAGCACGAAATCCATATTTCAAACCCATGCTTGAACCTATTAAGTTTCATACATAAAAACATCATGACAAGTTTTGCTACGGATTTACACTCTAATGAGAACAAGATTCAGTAGGTTTAAGCAAGCTGGCAAATGAACGTCAAAATAAAATTCATACCTTCACGTCGGTTTGAACACGGAAAACTTTGATTGCGAAAATATTTATCAATGTTTTGAAAAATATATCAATCATTGAACCGATGAAAGTACTGATTTAAGGTTTAATATGATCCAACCATAGTTGAATTGATAATAGCTAAATAATATCTTTAATTTTTTTAACATACTGTTAATAATGTTACCAAAATACTATATGGCTTTACCATCCCTTTTTTCATTCTCAAAAGACTGACTTAAAATCACCCCCGCCCTCTGTAACACTCCATCTTTATCAAAAGTCTCACTCAATATAGAGAGCCAGCCAAGGCTTTTTGGTAGAATTATTAAGCTGAAACCAACACTACTTAGTGGAATAGAAATTAAAAACAACAAATAAAAATTTTATCATAATCAAAATAATTATTACAGGGCAAGCAAGCAAACACAAAAACATAGGAAATTGAATGATTTTTTTTTTAAAGAAACATACAAGGGAGTGTAAGATATCGCAAGTCTGTTTTCTGTTTGATCTAAAGACATGGGCACTAGTTGGTCATCCATTGCCTTATCCATCACTGATAAATATACTCTGGAGAGTTTGAATTTTAATTTGTCACAACAAAAGATTGCTGTGTGCTGGCAATTTGTGCAGCAAACCTCCTTGTGATGGGTTGAGAAGGTTCCTAAAGCCAGCTCAAGCAGACATAAAGCTTGAGTTACTAGCTATCTTCTAGGTAGAGCTACCTCTAGTGGAGTATGAGATGCTGAAGACCCCTCCATCTATGAAAGTTGCAGCAACCATCTATATAACTCGATGCATTAATTATGGTTTCAAACAATGGAGTAAGATATGTGAACGGCACTCCAAATACTCAGAAAATCAGCTATTAGGGTACTCTAGTTTAATGGTTGATTTTGAATACCAGGCTGGGTGGCTGACACAGGGAAACTTACTGGGGTATACAGGAAGCGTTGCTCATTTAAATTTAGCTATACTGCAAAATGTGAACCAGCAAGTTTTCTTCTACACTGGAGAAACCACTGTAGCAGCTAGTAGACCATGTGTAGCCACTAGCATCAACAGAAAACTACTGATAACTAATAGGAAGTTGGCAACGAAATTAGTGCTAGAGGCATTGTTAGGCTTGTATGCAGTTGAATGGCAAAAGGAAACCGTTATCAAACGGTTTTGTGATTATTTTGGATCGGATGCAAGACTGGTTCCTGGTCTGACCAGATGAACCACTCATTACAGTCTGGTTTTAATAGCTATGATATTTTTCATGATAATACAAGTCTCAAACAGCATGGCCATATTTGAAGCTCCTCAAACATAAAGACAGTACTCTACAGTTTGTCAAGATGTCACTTATACAAAAGTATATTCCATCCATCATAGATTAACCATGGTGGATGTTAAGACATGTTGTCATAACTAAATGTATTTTGTCAAAGTAGTTATTAGTCAATCAAAATGATACTCCATATCACAATCAAAGAAAATTACATACCCGAGTTAATTAGTGATAAGCCCAAACTCAAAAAGCAAAAATGATAAGCAAGTCCTAATAGAGAATGGGTTTCACACTCCATAGGGCTGAGAAACAGCCTTTCAAGGAAAATGCCCTTAACAATTCAAAACAATTTTCTATTACAATATAATAGAAAGTTTCTCCTATCTCTCCCTCCTACTTATACTCAACATATAATCACCTATTAGCTATCTAATTCCTTCTGGAGTATACTTCTATTATTCCCTCTTCCTGTCCCCTAACAAATAGTTATAACTTCAGCATGCAAAATCAAGCTTCACATGTTACTTCTGAGTTGAAGTCCCCTTACCCCAGCAGCATTGCTAGAAATTAGGATCACTAAGCATTTATTCTGAATCTCTGATGAAGATATATAAAGGAACCCAAACTGTTCGACTTGGGGTGCATTTGAAAGAGTTTATTTACAGCTTATTTAGACTCTTCTTATCTTATGTCATAAGCTATCTTCAGCTTATTTCAAAAAGATCTTCAAGATAGCTTTAGAAATCTGTTTACAATTACACAAAAACAATTTGACCTTATTTCCTCTTTGATTATAGAAACAACTTATACATAAATGCTCACATGACAAACACTTGGACACTATTTGGAAAAAAACTTCAATAAACACATCAAATAAAAACAAGGGGGAATGAATTAAGCTTTTCCTAAACATGAGCTAAAATTAACTTTTAGAGAAATTAAATGAAAGAGCAATTACAAATTAGTTTATACACAAACTAATTTGAGATCATGGGAGAAGCTCAATTTCTTTTCTCCTTTTCTTCTCCCATAGTGATTATTGAGAAGTTTATCCAAACAGAATCTTCCTCAACAAGTGCTTGATTAAGTTGTCTACCTAAACACACCCAGTATAATTTAGACAAACACACAATGTACTATGCTAATAACATCTTACACTTCCAATTAGACCCATGATTTTCTAGCACCAAACAGCCACATACAAAAACCTTAATTGCTAGAAGATCTGCCAAAATCAGAACAAAAAAGCAAGTATATATATACTTCCACAACACACACCCGCAAGTGAACCCAGGAACAACTATTTTAAACACAACCTTTTAATCAAGGGCGATAACTCCATTTCCTATTTCGTAACACGACTACACCAAAAAATTACAAGGTTCAAAATGCAGGAAGAAGTAAAACCACCGAACATCCAATCCAAAAATCTCAGCGCCAACGACAACCCTAGAATATCACAAGCAACGAAAACAGAGTGTAAATCAAGAAAGACGCGTACGCTATGAGGCCGCGATGCTCGTCGCCGCCGTCGGCGAGCGACACGACGAGCCCCGTGGAAGCTTTCGTCGCCCACAACACGAAAACCGCAGCGACCGAAAGGCGAATGACCCCGTCGACCGGTAAAAAGAGCGAGAGCGCGGAGAAGATGACCACCGGCAACATGCAGTAACCGACGACGCTGGTGCAGGTGTGCAAATCAAGGTTACCGGTTCGACCGGCCAACATGTTGAAAACGACGTAAAGGAAGATTGAAGAGACGACGATCCAGCCCAATATGACGCCGAATTGGATCTTCCCCGCGAGTAATTGGAAGAGGCAAAGGGACATGTACAGAAGAATTGGGCCCGATAGATCCGAGTCTTTGTGGACCGAGTGGTTCACCCGAAACGGGTTCAGTACGGATCTGATTTTGCTCCAGATTTGCTCCGGGTGGATCCCGAGCTCGTCCAGGAGCGGCTCCTCGTCGTCGAAGTTGGCGCCACCTCCGCCCACGGCGGGGCCGCTGTATATTGGCCCCGAGGAGGTGGACGCCGCGGCGGAGCCTATGTCGAAGGACATGAAGGGGATGCCGGAGTTCGGCTGGAACGGCGGATTGGGCACGCGCCGCTGCTGGAGGTTTGGGGCCGGCGCGGCGGGGTTTCCGGCGGAGGGGAAAGCCACCGGCGGGACTTTGAACTCTTTATTAGCCATGAGATTGAGATCTGGTGGGAGGAACTAGGGTTTTGAGAAGCTTCAATCTACGAATTTGGGGGTTTCTGATTCTGAGAGTAGAGAGAGTAACGACCACGGTGTTATTGGAACCTTTTTTTTTTCTTCTTTTTTTTTTTGGGTTCGCGTCGGTGAGGTTTACTTAATCGAAAAGGGACCTAACGGATTGGAAAAGTTAATATTTAGTTTAATTTTATGAAACATGTTACAATTTAATTTTTAAAATTACTTAATTGTAATACAATTTGATGTAAGATATAACAATTGTTGTAAAATAAAAATCACTAGTATTAGATAATGTTTTATTTTTATATAATATTTAACATATAAATCATATTATAATTAAAATATAGTTTAATAGGTTCTTAGTTTTTATAAAATTAGCAAGCCCTATTTTCTTCCTCCTCAATGCCTTTCGCCACCATCTTTTCCACCATCATCACGTTCGCTTCATCTCTAAATCAACATTACATATTTACATTAGCATAAGCAACAAAATTAATAACATTAAAAAAGGTAAAAGGGAAAAATAACTTACCTAAACACACAAGAAGGAGGAAGAGGAGGATGGCAACAAAGAGGGAGGAAGGGGAGCACAATCCAGAACAAAAGCAACTGACAAATGGTTGAAAATAAAGAATGGGAATGAAAGAGTAAAATCGTGATAATCAATTCATTCCATAGGGAGGGAATTGATTCTATGTGAGAAGTTTTTGTTCAAAAATTGACTTTTTTACTTTTATCTCAATTTCACTTTGCGAGGATTGATTCCAAGTTAATGGAATCAATTTTTAATCCGTAGAATAATTTTTTCTATAAATAAAATATTTTCATTTTACCGATCATACAAATATTTTTCAACCTTTCCTATCATTCCTATGAATTAGACTTCAATGAAATAATAAATCTTAAAAAAAATAAAAAAAATATATATATATATATAACAAAACACTCAGATATACCAATATTGACTTTCTTTTTATCTAAGCTATATTTGTATTATTTTCATTCAATTTTTGCTTTGCTTTGACTGTCTCGGTTAACTTTTGGTTGTCTTTACTAAGACTTAATTGATTGCATTTTCATCAAAAAAAAAATTGGGAATAACATGCATGTTCAAACACATGCTCCTACATAAATTTAACAAGGTTTTTCACCATGATTAAAAGTAACCATTGTTTTTTTCTTTTTTCAATATAAAAAAGTTTTAACAAAGTTTTTCACAATGTTTAGTTTCAATCACATTAGGAACATTAGGCTACAATACATGTTAAAAATAGTATATTAAAGAATATATTTTTAATACTCGTCCTTTCATAGATGCTAATTTCACTTCATTTTTGTATTGTGTGCAACTTAATTAGCCATTTATGTTTAATTGGCAAGTTATAAAACACTAGCATGAATGAATTCAATGGCAAACCAATGGAATTATCATAGGGTAGTAGGAGTGTAATTGCGTAAGAAATATTTCCGCAACTCGAAACAGATTAAGCAAATTCTATACACAAGCATAACACATTTCATTATCATACACACACGAAAAGGCAAAGGCAAGAGAGCTAAACATATAAATTTATATTCCTTTCTATCATCGAGTCTAATACATCATACATCCCATAATTTTAGAAATTCATATATAAAGCCCATAAAGAGGGGTACGATAAACAAGGAAATGCAAGCGAAAATAATCGGATCACAAATGCTAGTATTATCATATGCCTGAGGCAACTACAACAACTATGATCAGTTTGGTTTTACACACCCACAAAAAAAAAAAAAAAGATGTCCTATTGGGGCCATATGATGCATTTAATCTGTAACAGCTGGATTAATTGCTGGAATCAGAAGGATTTTGATTGGAACTTGAGCCAAGGTTCAGGTCGAGAATGGTGTTTGGAGCATTCATTTTTGTGTTGCCCTTTGATATCTTCTTTTTGAGTTCTGACAAAAGTGCCTGATTCTCTTGATTAAGAAGTTGAACTTTCTTCCTCAAATTTTCATTCTGTTTCATTATGTGACAATTCTGGAAGTACAACTCTAAGTTCAGCCTTTCCATGTAAACAATTCCTTCCCAAAATTATTCTCAATGCCCTATCCTGAAACCAGAATATATATATATATATATATATATATATATATACAAAAAAAAAATCAAAATAGATAGCAATAAGATCTTGAGATAATAATACTATTAAGTACTATCCCTTGAGACATGCATACTTCAATAATAGAATCTAAACTAACTTTATATATATAAATACATACTTAAATTTATTAAAATCTATACTTCATCGTGAAAAACACAAGGATATATGATTGAAAAAAGCATAAGAAGAGATCGAGCTCGTGAGCTAAAAGAAGGAAATGCCATCATTAAAAAATTCAAAACAGAGAAGAACCATAATAATTTATTGAAATCAAAAAGGAAAAAAACAGTTATTTACAATCTTTCTTGCGAATGTGTTGCTTTGAAAAAATAATTATCCAAATCTCCACTCACTTGAAAGTTGAAAACACTAAAAGAAATGGTTTTTTTCGGCTGTCCCACGAGGGAATAAAAGGATAAAGGTCACACATAAAAAAATAAAAATAAAAATAAAGTTTTATACCAACATCTTCGTTTCGTACGAGTATGCGTATGTAATCAACAAAGTTCTTTTATTCTCAGTTTTCACACCCATATAGCTATTCAAATATTTGATAACAACATAGCCAAATGTTCCAAGTAATAAAAATTTGGATAGCTAGGGTGGGGAACTTAAAACCCCATGATATAATATAAAGAATGAGATGTTATCTTAGAGCTAGTGAAAGACAAAAAGATTACTCATAGGCACATTTCATATTAAAGAAAATAATAATTAAATGCAAGAGAAAACAAAGGCCAAAGAATTCACGTAGGAGATAGATAAAGGCCAGACACTTCTGAGACAAATAAATTATAGAACACTCAAGGTAAAAGAAGCCAACCAGAGATAGAATAACAACGAGATTTGTTTTCAAATATTTGGAAACAAGTTAAACCAGATACTAAAACAATAGCCTCATCAAATGGTTCTCAAAACACAATATACCTCGTCTATCTTTTTATGCGTGAATATTAAAATAAACAATATGAGAGAGGTGGGGTCATATGTCTTTCTCTCTTAGGCTTTTCGAAAAAGATCACCTTTTGAAGGAAGTTAACTCAAAACTTTGGTGGTGGAAACAGATTGGAGTTGGAAGGGGAATAGCAGTGAGAGAAAAGAGTGAGTTAGCAAAGGCAAGGGTGGGACAAAGTGAACAATGTGTGTGTTATAGAGCAAATTAAAGAGAGAGAGAGAAAAATAAGGAGAAGGTCGTCACGCACAGGTGGGGGATGTGTCCCTTCTGTTTCTGACACAACAATCATGCATGTGTAAGCACAGAAAATGATAGGTTAGGAGCCTAAAAGATTTTCATGTTTCGGTTCTATAATGATGCTTATGGCGTTATATGAATGACTATTCCTAAGAGCATCTCCAGTTGGAATTTTGTTTTTACTATTTTCTGTGCACTCTTTTCTTGTGAGCAGTGGCAAAATAGGCATGATTAATGCAACTGAAAAATTTGCATAATGGACATAAGAGGGGTCATAATGGGTCTTCCTTCTAGGGTTTATAAAACGATGGTGGGCTAGGCCATCCCAAGATTTGTAATGATGATTTAGATTGGGTTTGTGAAACCACCATCTGGATTCAGCACCTTTCCTTAACCATTTCCCCTATCAGTTATTACTCTTTTGTTTTTATTTATGTCGTCCCTCTTATATTTTTAGTCCTTCATGATTCTCACTTTCATTTCACAATTTTCATGTGTTGGGTACTGTTGGCTATAATCATTCCCATTGCCTTAATATTATTATTTCTTTTAATTTGTTGAAATTCGACAATTTTTGTGCATTAATACTTGAAAGGAGAAGAAGAAAATGCCAAATTTTATCTTCCCTCCGTAGATAAGATCCATTTAAAAAAATTTGAGTGGTAAAAAATTTCTTCTTTTTTTTTTTTTGTGGCACCAGGGATATTGGAATGGCATAATCACTTACTTGAATGCCAGGGCTTGTACATAATTGATCAAATGTATGTATTCATTTATTTATGCTTAGGATTAGGAGTGATTTATTTAACAAATGGAATGTGAAATCATTAAAAGGGTATACAAAAAAGGGGCAAAAAAGAAAGGACGGTGAGGATGTTATGCACTTTTATTTTTTGTACAATTCATCTTGAGAATCTAGTATACTTCTAATGAAATTTCTATTCACCCATTACCCAAATAAACCATGTTTTCCTACCATTTATATTGTGATTATGTGCTAATGAAGCTTCTGAACCATTTATAATATTTTGTTTTAAGTTATTATAATGATGGTAATTATGGATGAAGTCGATGTCGATAATTAAAATACTTATTTTCTAGCCAATTTCAAGATTATGAGCTTGAAATTATTGAACGAGAATTTGGATGTGAATTGGGGCTAACATCATATCTACTCATAAGTTATGAATAGCATCACATTAAGTATCATGGTTGTTGGATAATGTATTAGATGTGGCTAATTTCCTTTTGAGAGTGAAATTATCAACCAAATATTGGGTTATTCCTCATGGAGCTCGTTCATTTCTCCCTCTTAAAAACATTACTTGCATTAATATATAATGTCTCATTGGTTGATTTTGAGTTCACTCCTTTGTCCTTATGCATACACACACAAATCTCATCAACCTAAATAAGAAATTTGTATACTTTTGAAATTTCTAATTCAATATTGTTTATATATTTTTCTTGTGAGAAGATATAACACACTTGCAAATTCATGATTTTATTATGCAAGATATAAATAAACAAAAATTATATATATTTATGGAGTAAGTGAATTCACTTACGTAAATTCTAAAATATTATTTTACTTAATTACTCATTATTTACATTTCATTTTAATTATCTAATTATTAAATTAAAAAATTAATTTAAAAGTCAACTCTACTATTTTTTACTAAATTTGAAAAGAGTATAATACATCATTATATATATTCAAATTAATGCATCATATGTTTTTTATGGGTATATGTCAATTTAAATTACTATATAATAAAATATCAAATAATTTTTAAATTTTATAAAAAATTATAAATTTAATTTATTTATTAAAAAAATTTAATTTAATAATTCAATCATTAAAATTTAATATAGATTTAAGTCGAGTCACGATGAGAGAGAAAATATATAAGGTTGAAATAGCTTAAAACTATTGATTAACGTACTCTAACATTACGGAATTTGGAAGATTTTGAGAGTAAATGAGTTAATTTGTATTTTGGGACTTATAAACTAGTTCGTAAAAAGGATAGGCTCATTCCCATAAAATCCAGCCCAATTATGCATTTCCAATGTAAATTATTACATTTGTCCTTTCAACGTCCACATGATGATACTAGGCCTTATATTATAGCATATGTCTCTGAAAAAGTAATTTTAATTTTAAATGAGAAATAAATTTATAAAAAAAATTATTGATTAAATATGATTTTAATCTTAAAATACATTTATTTTTAATTTTTAAATTTAAAACTGATCTTTTTAATTTCTATAAATTTAAATTAGAAATTTTTATTTAATTTTTATATTTAAATTTTGTTAAAAAATTTATCAAATATTATCACATAAAACTTTCTTATTGTATCTTATAAAAATATTACATTAGATTTAATAAATAATGTGTAACAGTCTCAATCTGTTATTTATATATATATTATTAATGATTCCATAAATTAAAATAAGATTTTTAAAAATTATAAAAATTAAAAATAATAATTTTAAACTTAAATGGTAAAAAATAAACTTACTACAAATTTAAAGAATTAAAAATATATTTAAGCCTAAAATATTTATTTCATCAAAATTTCTCACCTTTTTTTTTTAACTTCATTGCTAAACCAGTAGTTGATTTTACTCTTGATTAACCTACCTTGATCTTATCTTTAAACAGATTCATTTTTTAACTTGGTTGAATGTTCACTTAATCTAATTCGTCTAGTTGTTTTTTTTTTATCGATTGACGTTGAAATATATCTGCTAACAAAAATGTGCTTTTTAATTAAACTTTACCTAAGAATTTTTTTAAACCGAATCAACATAATCACTTCAATTATGACATTATTTCTTCAAAATGATTACCATAAACTTAAACGATTATGTCAACTATCATCTTGTTGTGACATACAAGGTATACAGGGTCATTATTTTGCTCAAGTATCACTGTTTGCAAGGATTAGAGGAGAAACTTGTAATCCAGATAGAATCACTAACAACTGCTTCATCGTTATCGTTCTTATGCCATGTCCAAAGTGCATGTGATGCATTAACTACTTCAAGTACACCATGCCCAAAGCTAGCCTCCCTGAATATGGATATCTCTGGCTTGGGATCTATGTACCTGTTGTCACAGACCATAGAAAAGTAATTATAAGTTTAAATCATTATTTCTTGTACAAAAGTAATACACAACATAATTACGGTAAAAATTCTAACTGCCAAAATTAAAATAAATAAAAAAAAAAAAAAAAAAGAGAAATGTTAATTCATTACTTGGATGCCAGGCCTTCACGGTTACCCCCATCCCCGATATTGATATACACCGGAGCGCAATTGTTAGCTCTATCTTCGTAAACTCGTGTCTGACAAAACAAGGGAATATGTTAATCAATCTTAACATATTAACATGTTGCATTAATTATTATGTAATTAACATGTGTCTGAAATTTAAAAAATTGAGTCTTAAAATTAAAGAAATAGTGGGAGAAAAATAATAAAAAAGAAATAGTAGATAGATACTGACAAATCGTTCATAGGCATGAACATGTCCTGCAAAAACAAGATCAACACGGGCATGGTAGAGCAAACCTTCCATTGCAGCTTTCATGTGAACGGATTCAGGCTCACCCTGGTGAGCGGTGTTGGAGTTATACCAGGGTGCGTGGATGAGCAGCACAAGCCAAGGAGTTTTCCCTCTGTTCACCTTTCCCAAGTCCCCTTGAAGCCATCGGTACTGTGGAGAGGAAGCGTCAAAGTCGGCGTAGGAGCCAAGCATGATCACGTGAATTCCAGCCACGTCAAAGGAATAGTAGAGGTTAGAGTCTGACCCACTCTCTTCAAACGGCATGCGCCATCTCGCATTGTACGCTGTGAACGGCGTTCTGTGAATCAACGGAATCTTCTCCACCTCGTGGTTTCCTTGGGTGACCATCCAAGGACGCTGGCTAGCCAATGGCTCAACCAATCGACCAAAGGAGTCCCATAAAACTTGGTCCAAGTCTGCGTAGGATAAGTCCCCCGGTAGTATTAACATGTCGTAGTTTGACTTACCCACGTGTTCCAAAGTTGACCTAGTCCAATCCGTTTGTCCAAGGTCCCCTACATTCAAGACATAAGTTGCTAAGACAAAAACTATGTAACATTCTTAATTCCATGACTTTATATGTTGATGGAGCATTTTCACTTACCAACTACTGCGAACTTGATTGGGAATTGGGAGGGTGTGGTCTTGAATTGTCGTGTTTGGGAAGAGGGTTGGTCACCCAAACGGTAGTAGTAGACGGTGTTGGGGTTGAGGGGGCCAATTACGACTTCGTGGATTTGACCGGATTCGTAAAGCAGAAAATGGTATGAAGAAGTGTTCCCTGTCGCAGACTCTGCGTTGGCCGAAGGGGATGGACCGTACGAAACCTTTGCTGGAGTTGGGCTCCCTGTGATCCACGATATCCTCATCATATTTTGGCCCACTTGAGATATGTGCACCTGAAAGGCCCACCCAGTTCAACATTAGGCCTCCGAAATTTTCTCCACTTACATATATAAATAGAGAGAATTAAGTAGATGAAAATTTATCAAAGGAACACGAGAGTTACACGACAAATTCATATTGCTATAAGTCGTAAGGCGTTCCGTTCACTAACTCAAGTCATTAGGACAATTTACAAATCATACACACACAAAAGGGACAATCTTTCTAAAATTAATAAATATCAACAAATTAATAACTACTATTGTTAGACAAACACGTCAAAAAATAAAATATTACTTTTTTATTATTAAAATACATTTTTTAAGAACGAAAAACTTAAATAAACAAGCTCAAAATTGTGTCCACCAAAAAGAAAATGCAGAAAGAAAAGTTATGTTCAATAAGAATACCCTCGACCATGATATTTAAAATATGTTAGTGTAGCGTCACGGTCGGATACCGAAAGGATGTCCCTTCTTACGATAATTTCGTCGTCGCCTCGACTGGCTCCCTAAGGGCCGCTCGGTTTATAGCCGAGTTGACCCATGTACACCCTTTTCGGTCTTCTTCCGACACCCCCACTCTTTAAAGACCCACTCGGCCCGTGGCCGAGAATGCATCATAGTTTAAGCCATGTCGGCCCCCACTTTAATCTTTCAGGGCCGACATCCCACTCGGCTAAGTCCCGACTGGACCCCTTGGGAATGGGCCTAGTTGATCACGATCCGATTTATCGATCCAGCGTTTAACGTAGTATCTTTAAAATAAGAACGGTTAAGGGAAATTCCTATATTCTCGGGGCCCATGAAGCCCGTGAACGAGAAACTATAAAACTAAAAACCCTAGAGTTGAGAAGGCAGATTACACTTTTGAATGCTCTGGCACGAAAGCTTAACCGAGAAAGAAACATGTTCCGGCCAAAGGGTGGACTAGGGTTTTTTCCTAGATCGTGCCTTAGAGCCAGAGCATTCAAGAGTGTAATCTGCATTCTCAACTCTAGGGTTTTGGGTTTATGGTATGTCGTTCATGGGCCTCTTGGGCCCCGAGAATGAAGGGATTTTCCTAACCGTTCTTATCACTAGGGCGCGGGGTTAGCGTGGCTGAGTCTAGTCGGTTTATGACCGACTGGTTCCATACGGAGGGTCCAGTCGGGTTACGACCGACTAGGTCCATACCGAGGGTCCAGTCGGGTCAATACCGGGTAACAAGAGGAATCGAGTTTGCAGGTAGAGTCGGACTATGACCGACTATGTCTGTGCTGAGCCTTTGGTTGAGTTAATGTCAAGTGGAAGATCATGATCGCCCTATTGCCGAATAGAAGACCAGGTCGGATTGCGACCTGGACGACACAAAACCCTAGTGCACCTTTTGGCCGGAACAGTTAGCATAAAATAAAAATTATTAAAAAATGTTTTTAAAATTTTTGAAGAGAGTGTGAGACACAAACAAACGTTGATGCCCACATAAGTAGTGTGTTGTTCTACGTTAAATGGTGTGAAGGACTTGCTTATGCTACTCTTCTCTCTCAGTCGCTGTTCAACCATATTGGTTTGGTAGCAGATTAAGCCAATACTTTTCTTATTTTGGTAATCAAACATGTTCTCTTGTTCACCTAACTAACTATTAACCAGTATGGACACAAACAGAGACATCTGCTTTTTAAATACAAGGAAAAAAAACCTAATTCATGTTAACCAAGAAAATTAGTTATCACCAATTAATTATATTAGCCTTCTTTAAAAAATAACTATTTTTTTCGGTAAAAACAACTTTATTTTTTAAACTACCATTTCTTACAACTTAATATTAAAAATAAAATCTTAATTAAATAAAAGAGTATTTTTAAATATAACTTTAAATAAAATAAAATTAGTAAAAATTTATTTATATTTAGAATCAACTTAAACATGAGTTTTTTTTTTAACTTATCTTCTAGAGTATCAACATGAAAATTTTAGATTAAATTATATTTTTACTCTGTTATTTTTATCAATTTATAACTTTAGTTTTTTATTTTAAAATAAAAATATTTAATGTCTTACTTTTAAAATTATACGATTTTAGTCTTAATTATGATTTGATATCTGCTAAAAATAAAGAAAGAAAATAAATAAATAAATTTATTTATTTATTTTATAAATATCATTATTTAATAATAATATTAAAATAAATATCATGATTTAATAATGTTATCAAAATAAAAATAAATAACCTTATTTAATGATTTTATTAAAGTAAATATTTAATTTAATGTTTTAGAATAAATTTCTTTTCTTTTATTTTTTAATAATTATATTTATTAATGTAATCATCTGAAATTTAATTGATGTTTAGCCAATTAAAAATATAATTTAAATAAATAATAATTTTGACAAATGTTTTTCGGACAACTACTATTGTTAACCAAGGTTGGATTAATGGTAGAATCAAAATTACTAATTCTCAAAATAAAAATAAAAAAGTCTCTATTTCAAAATAAAAAATTAAAATTGAGAATTAATAATAAAAAATAAAAAAATAAAAAAAAGGAAAACTATAAGAATGTAATTTAACCAACAACAAAAAATGTATTTGCAGGATAAACACCAACTTATGAAGGGTACCTTACGTTACTTTATTTACTATCAGATCACAAAATATTTTTCGTTTTTGGATAAGATAAACTTCTATACACTCAAATAATTTTCTTATGATTTAAACTAAAGATCACAAAGTCTTATGTTTGAAATTTGTTATCCTTATTATAATTTTTTATTGTTAAAAAAATCATTTTCCCATTGAAAATGTGAACTTCAAACATAAATGAGCAGGCCATGGAGTTTCAGCAACATTAAATGAGAAAATTAATGTGAATTTCCAGCAACTTTGCGATTTTGGTGAGAGGACATGCAAATAATCTAAGCAATAATAACTTATAAAGTGAATGCAGAAAATTAAACGTGAAATTGTAAAGTAGTAGTTGAAGTGCACCTGTTGAGGCGTGTTGGGGTCTTCATCTGCATTTGGAACATAGAGAGTTTCACGAGGTGGTGGTCGAATGTAACCATAAACGGCATCGAGTTCGACGATTCCGATGATTAGCAAAAGCAAAAGCACACATATTCGAACCGCCATCGTTTTCAGTGCTAAGGTTTTCACTAAATTAACGAAGGTTGAAGTTGAAGGAAGAAGAAGAAGAGGTGGCAGATCAGATCGGAACGAGAGTAACACTAAATATTTAGCTATTACGTGATTTGAATATTCTACCTATCTGTGTCCCGAGTTATTTATAGCGTTCACACTTCACAGTTACTACAGTGAACTAATAAATGTCAAATCTTCAATGTAGAAGTGTCTTGGTTCTTCTTCCTTAAAAAAAAATTTTAATGACCTGGATTTTTTTATTTCAATAATACTATAAGTAAATAAAATATTTCTCTAAACATTACTCATCAATATTATTTTCCTTGATACCACTTTTTCTTTTTAATTCAATGAAACTCTTCTTCCAATTCCGACTTCCGTAGGGATCCAGAAATCTCGATCGATTCGTGGGAGCAATGTTGGTATGTAGATTTATAACATTAAACATATTACGTTTTATTTGTAAAATTTACGATGTAAGATATTTATTATGTATCTTATTTTACTTTTTTAGGTTCTATATTATCATATCATATTTAAATAATTATTAAATAACTTATTAAATTTTTTAATAATTATTAATAATATTTTCTTAGATACTGTATGATTTACCATTTATTTTCCTCTTTTTCAAAGTTGGGTGGTGTAAAAGTAATAATTTTGAAGGTTAAATTAATCCTTTATAGGTTTTCTAAATTTTTAATTAGATCTTTATAATTAAGATCGTTCTAATATAATATTTAGAATTTAATTTTTTTAATTAAATTTTCTATTCATTAGACTCGTTAAATTTCCGTTATGTTGACTAGATATGTTAATTATTTTTTAATTTTATTTGTTTTAAATTTTTAATTAGGTTTTTAATTTTAATAGACTAATTATCCTAAAATTTAGGATTTATTTCACATTTAGATTTAAAAAATATTTCAAACTTTAAACTAGATATTTTTTAAATTCTATATCTATTCATAAAAAGTAAAAAAAAAATAAAGAAAAAAAATTGTCAGCACGATTTAAATATTAGTTTAATATTTTAATTTGTACAATACAAAAAAGTATAATTTAATTTTTTAATAAATAATTTTTTAAAATATATTAAATAATAACCCTTATATATAAAAATATGAATGATTATCTTGTACAAAAATATTTTTAGAAATTTTTCTTTAGTGAGAAGATTTTTAAAAATTCTTTTGACTTTTATCTAATTCAATTTTTATTTATCATAATTATTATAAATTAAATTTTTAATATTTTTCAAATAAATTATCAATAAATAAAAATAATCTTGTACTATAAAATGAGTTATTTAAAATAAATTTAAAAATATAATTTATATTTAAAAATATTTATTTATTCAAAATTTAAATATTATTTATATACTCAAACATAATATTTATTTATATACATAATTTATTTTGAAATTTAAATTATATATAATAAACATTTAACATTAACACTAGACAGACTAAAAATATTATGTAAATAATTATTTCAAAAATAATATCATTTAAGATAATTATAATAATTTATAGGTAGAGAAGATATAGTACTAGCAATTAGTTAGTATTTTACCCGATACATGATAAATGTTTATTTTATATAGTTATGATTTATAATAAATATTTTTTAATATTTAAATTAATCAATATAAATAATATATCATAGTTATGAAATTGATAATTTCTTTTAAAAATATTTTGTTTTGTCTATATAATTTAAACTTTAAATAATTTTTAAAATAAATTCAAACTAAATTATGTTTAAGTTGATTTTTTTTCAACTAAAGCGTTTTAAATTTTTTTTAAACCTTTCATCTCTTTAAATTTATCTTTTTTTCTTTTTAATTTTCAACAGAGTTTATTTTATTTTTAATTTAATTTATTGATTATACAATTAGTAATATAAGTAACATATTAATTAATTTTAAAAAAATATTAATTAGTTAACCAATTATAAAGTCAAATATTTAATAAAAATATTATTAATTAAAATTGATAACACAAAAGCATAATTCAATTTCAAACCAAAATTAAGTTATTATCTTAAATAATATGTCACTTATGTTCTTTAATTAAAATTTAAAGTTCAATCTCTGACTTAAATATAAAGCTTTAACTGAAAATATCACCTTAAAAGTCAAAATTTAAGATTGTAACAAACCACATGTAAATATTTAATATTGTAAAATTCACACATTTTAATTTTTACACCACATTTTAGTTTCTTTAGTTTTCGAAAGATTCAGAAGCCAAATAGTAATAAATTTAGGTTAATTAAAAAAAAAAAATCGCACATGCTAAATTAAATCATTACTATAAAGTGTTTTTTCTTAACTTTCTAATTATATAAATTATTTCTTATTAAAAAAGGTAAGTGCTAAAAACAATATCTGCAAAATGCAACATTTTTATAATGATTTGGACAATACGTAACTGTACTATCCGTACTGCGAAGCCGAGCTCCCAGCTCGGTATCACAGCGCAAGACGACCTCGGACAAGTGCTAGGCCACGTCAACCATACATCCAATTAGGTCATAAACTGATCTCAGGCCCAAGGCCCAACAAAACCCTAATTTACACAAAGGTACGTGCATTATACGAGATTCATACTCCCACAAACATGAACTTGAGCATCGAAGTCTCTTTTGTAGGTACCACCCCCATCTTGGAGCACCAACGTACCAGTGAAGGAGGCTCACCGATCTTACCTAGCGGATCAGCTCTACAGCAGATTCTCGGTAAGAACATTTGGCGCCCACCGTGGAGCCGATCAAGACAGCTCTTATCAACCACGCTTATGGTTTGCACCAGAAGCCATAGCAGACGCGCAATAGACGACCTAGATCACACGGCTACCATGGATAACGAAGCCACATTGAGGAGACTGATCGACCAGGTCGAACAGATGCGGCAACAACACGACGCCAATCTGCAAAACATGCATGCCAAGCACGAAACCGACCTAGCAGCGATGCAGACCGCTAATGAAGCTAACCTAGTGGCACTACGCGCCGAAAACGAGCGGATTCGCGCCCAGCTCCCTCGACGCCCTTCTGATCATCCTCCTCAGGCGAGCAACCTCTACGAGGAAGAAGGGCATTCGGTCTCTCAACCCCGGGCAGCGACTAGGGCACCGACTCCGCGACTTGCCACGCATCGGTCTCACGCACCAACGAACAAGTCGGCCCATGAAGTCAGCAAAGGCCCCTACTCATGTCACGGGGGGTCAAACAACCTTCCGCCGTCATCCTTTTGTGGATGGCATCATGGAGACGCCACTCCCTCACGGATGGAAGCCTTTCCACATCGACCGCTACGACGGCACGACAGATCCAGACGAGCACGTCGATTTGTACATTACACAGGTAAACCTATACACTAATGAAGATAATATTCTGTGTAGGGTTTTTCCGACCTCGCTCAAGGGGGCAACGCTCAACTGGTACACTCAATTGCCGGTAGAGTCAATAGATAACTTCGACACTCTGGTAAGGCGATTCACGGCGCAGTATGCCACGAGTCGACCTCACCATGTCACATCAGCCGCCTTGGCCAGTCTCAAACAAGGCGACGACGAATCACTGAGGGCGTTCATGGAACGATTTCCCAGTATCTCGGTCAAGATTTGAAACTTGAACCCCGAGGTCGCCCTACACGCCATGCTCATGGCGCTCAAGCCTGGACCTTTCGTGGATAGCCTGTGTCGACGATCTCCTCTTGATATGGACGAACTCCGTGCCCGAGCTGCAGGGTACATTCAGATGGAAGAGCACTATGCTTTTCGTAACCAGGTTCGCGACAAACCACAAGGAATGCAAGACCAAGGTCAGGCCACAAACATTTAAAGTTGGCGACCTTGTTTGGTGGGATGAGAGAGGCAAGAATAGACCCCTCCGAAGGGAAATTCAGAACTTGGAATGTCACCCACCTCAAATTTTATTCACTTGTAACTCCAGGTGATGTACTCCTTTTCCTCCTCAGCCTTTTTTCCCGCTAAAGAAAAGGGTTTTTGGCCAAGGAAGGTTTTAACGAGGCACACCTCAGAAACAAATAAACAAAGCAACTCCATTCCCATACATTTTCAGTATTGGCACATTAACCATGAGAACTTGCCAAGGCCGAACTTGAACCTTGATGTTAAGGTCGACTTCGAACCTTCAAATGCAAATTACGTAACTGAGGTCGAGTTCGAACCTTCATATACCAAGGTCGAGTCCGAACCTTGAGATCACATTTTCTTAACCGAGGTCAAGTTCGAACCTTGATATGCCAAGGTCAAGTCCGAACCTTGAGATCACATTTTCTTAACCGAGGTCGAGTTCAAACCTTGATAAACCAAGGTCGAGTTCGAACCTTGATATGCCAAGGTCCAGTCCGAACCTTGAGATCACATTTTCTTAACCGATGTCGAGGTCGAACCTTGAAGATCACAAGGTCAAATTTGAACCTTCAAACAACAAATTTGGGAGCTCCTCAAAAGCCCCTTTGCTCTTACATCACTCGGTGCTTGGGGGGCAAGTGTACTGGCCAACCGAGTTGCCGACTTGTCCCTCACCAATCTGCTGACTCATTCAAAGGTTTACCAGCCTAACCAAGCAGTAAACTCATTATTGCCGAGCTCCTCAGCTCGGCCATGACACATAGTATCATGAAAGGCAGGCATACGCGAAAGGTCACTGTTCCCTGACGAGCTCGGTCTTAACTCCTCGACCTACGGTCTTCGGAGCTCGGGGGGCTAGTGTACTATCCGTACTGCGAAGCCGAGCTCCCAGCTCGGTATCACAGCGCAAGACGACCTCAGACAAGCGCTAGGCCACGTCAGCCCTACATCCAATTAGGTCATAAACTGATCTCAGGCTCAAGGCCCAACAAAACCCTAATTTACACAAAGGTACGTGCATTACATATACGAGATTCATACTCCCACAAACATTAACTTGAGCATCAGAGTCTCTTTTGTAGGTACTACCCCCATCTTGGAGCACCAGCGTACCAGTGAAGGAGGCTCACCGATCTTACCTAGCGGATCAGCTCTACAGCAGATTTCCGGTAAGAACAGTAACCATTGTCACAAAACAAAGGCAACTAA